TTGCATCTCCTGCTGAGTCTTTTGCTTTCATAGAGAGTGATTTTCATGTGCAGATTTGGTGCCAATTCCTCCAGAACCTTCCAAGTGTATATTATCATGTATCTCTCTCACTTACATTCGAGGGAATACAGATCAAGGACCTTCAACTGTTCCCAGTAGTTTAGGTGCTTTATCGAACTTATGTGTGCCATGAAAGTTCTTTATACACTCTCCAGGTCTGCAATGTTGCCAGTCTTGAAGGGGGCTGTTAGTGTACAGCAGTATTCCAGCCTAGAGAGCACAAGCAATTTGAAGAGAATTATCATGGGCTTGGCATCCCTAGTTATGAAGGTTCTCATTATCCATCCTATCATTTTCTTAGTGGATGAGGTAGATGCATTGCTATGGTCTTTGAAGGTGAGATCCTCTGACATTATCACTCCCAGGTCCTTCACATTACTTTTCCACTCTATTGCATGAGTAGAATTTGTGGTATACCCTGACACATTTTTAATTTCTTCAACTTTTCCATATCTGAGTAGTTGAAATTTTGACTAGTGGAACTTCATATTGTTTTGAGTGGCCCATTTGAAGATTTGGTTGATGTCCACTTGGAGTCTCACAATGTCTTTGATGGAGGCCACTGCCATGGTGATCTGGGTGTCATCCGCAAAGGAAGACATGGAGCTATGGCTTACATCTCTGTCTATGTCAGAAATGAGGATGAGGAATAGAATGGGAGTGAGTACTGTGCCTTGTGGAACAGAACTTTTTACCATGGCTGCCTGGGACTTTACTCTGTTTACTATTACTCTTAATGTTCTGTTTGTCAAGAAGTTGTAGATCCATCTACCAACTTTTCCCATTATTCCTTTATCTCACATTTTGTGTGCTGTTACACCATGGTCACACTTGTCACTGTGTATACTACATCTGTATTTTGTTTATCCTCTACAGCATCCAGGACCTTATCATAGTGGTCCAGTAGCTGGGATAAGCAGGAGCGACCTGCTCTAAACCCATGTTGCCCTGGGTTGTGTAATTGCTGGGTATCTAGGTAGTTGGCTATCTTGCTTCTTAGATCCTTCTCAAAGACTTTTATGATATGGGATGTTAGTGCTATCTGTCTGCAGTTCTTTGCAATTGCTTTACTGCCACCTATGTGGAGTGGGGCTATGTCTGTTGCCTTTAGTATGTGTAGGATGACCCGTGTCCATGCTCCCTCTCCATAAAATGCTGAAAGCATACGATAGGAGCTTCTTGCATTTATTGATGAACATGGAGTTCCACGAGTCTGGGCCTGGGGCAAAGTGCATGGGCATGTCATTAACTGACTCTTCAAAATCTTGTGGGGTTAGAATAATATCCGAGAATTTTAGGATGACCAAATTTTGGGTTTCATTCATAAAGAATTCATTTGGTTTGTCGACCCTTAGAGTGAGCAGTGGATCACTGAACACTGAGTCATATTGGGACTTTAGTATCTCACTCATTTCTTGGCTATCATCTGTGTATGTCCCATCCTGCCAAAGCAGGAGCCCAATATGGGATGTTGTTTTTCCCTTAGATTTGGCATAAGAGAACTATTTTACCTTTTTTTTAAACTTCCTTATGGCTTTTAGTTCTTCCTATGATTCTTGTCTCCTATAAGATTCCTTCAGCTTTAGTTCGATATTTGCAATTTCATCGACTAGTGCCTCCCTTCGTATTTCAGATATACTGACCCCTCTCAGCAGCTCTGTGACTCTTCACCTTCGTCTGTATAGGGAACGTCTCTCTCTTTCTAGTTTACATCTTCTCTTTTTCTTAATGGAATGTGTCTTGAGCAGATCTTAAGAACCACAGAATTCATTTCTTCCAGGCAAATGTTTGGATCCATTTTGTTTAAGAAATCTTCCCAGCTTGTTTCATTTAGTACATGGTTTACTTGATCCCATTGTATGTTTTAGTTATTGAAATTGAATTTCGTGAAGAGACCTTCATGACTGCTTACATTTTGCTGGTCTGAAGCCCTGTGCATACATGTCTGTACCTCTATTATGTTGTGATCTGAGTGTATTGTCTTTGATACAGTTATATTATGTATCAGATCTTCATTGTTAGTGAAGATGAGGTCCAGCATATTTTCTAGTCTTACAGGCTCTACTATTTGCTGGTTTAAGGTGAATTTGTTGCAGAGATTTAATAGTTTGTGTGTGTGTGAATTTTCATCTGAGCTGCCTCCTGGGGTGATCTCTGCTAAAACATTGTTTGCTATAATCCTCCATTTTAGGTGTCTCAGGTTGAAATCTCCTAGTAGTAAGATGTTTGGGGCAGGAGTTGAGAGATTTTCCAGACAGTGGTCAAGTTTCTCAAGCTGCTCCTGGAATTGCTGGGAAGTTGCATCTGGAGGCTTGTATACTGCCACAATGACAAGGTTTTGGTTTTCGATCTTTACTGCCAAAACTTCAACTACATCATTTGGGGTGTTTAGTAGTTCTGTGCAAATAAGCGACTCCGTGACATACAGGCCAACCCCGGTGGCCTGGTGGCTAGTGGCCCGGTGGCCTGGTGGCTAAAGCTCCCGCTTCACACACGGAGGGCCCGGGTTCGATTCCCGGCGGGTGGAAACATTTCGACACGTTTCTTTACACCTGTTGTCCTGTTCACCTAGCAGCAAATAGGTACCTGGGTGTTAGTCGACTGGTGTGGGTCGCATCCTGGGGGACAAGATTAAGGACCCCAATGGAAATAAGTTAGACAGTCCTCGATGACGCACTGACTTTCTTGGGTTATCCTGGGTGGCTAACCCTCCGGGGTTAAAAATCCGAACGAAATCTTATCTTATCTTATCTTCTTGTTCCCTGTTCAGTCTGTTGCACTGGAATAGGTTATAACCTGGGATACATATTTTGTTGTCATAATGATCCTTTATGTGGGTCTCTGTGAATGTTGCAAACATTGCATTTGACTCCATGAGCAGTCCCTTGATGTAAGGAATTTTGTGTTTCTTGATGACTTCAGACCCTGTATATTTGCAAAGACAAATGTCATATTGGTGAAATTTAGGGGGGTTTTATTTGCTGGCTCTAATATCTGTTGTTCTGGGGTAGAGGCCACTGTCCGTGCCTCTGCTCCAGAAGCGTTTTCAGGTGGTGTAGGATTATTGTCATTTCTTGCCAGTCTTTTTTCCCTTCTGGCCCTAAAAAATCTCTGTCCCTGGAGAGGTTGTGGCTCCTCTCTTTTGTTTCCCATAGTCTGGCTGGTCTATGTCTTCTAGTCCCCTTTAGGTGATGTGCCTGGCAGTATGCATTGTAGCATTTTCTTTCATGGATTGATGAGTGACACATTTTTGGGTGAAATAAGTTGCAAGAAGGGAAGTTGCACTCTCCTGTTGTCATGTGGGTGCAGCATTTTTTGGGATGGGCAAAGGTGCATGTCCCACCTGTTTTACCAGATATACCATGCCTGCAGACACCCAAGGTATAGTATTAACATAGATTGTACTTCTGTTTGCTAGGATTTATTGTAGCTGCGTTCACTGTTGGTGCATTTATTTTTCCTGTTTCCTCAATATCTTTTACCCCTGTATGGACATCAGTCCTTCCACCAGGTTTTGCTGGTAGAGTGTCGACACTATTCCCTGAGGCATCATCCCATTTTGATCTATCTTCAGCAGTATCTCTATTTTGAACCTCTGTGGACTGAATAAAGTCGTCTTCAGTGTCCTCAAGGAAAACACTAGCACCCTCAGCACTGTCCTCCAGGACAGCACTAACACCCTAAGGAGCACTGTCCAAGACATCCCCATCCCTACCACTGATCTTTTTTCCCAGCTGTCATACCATGCTGACATAACTTGCAAGAAAGATGTTTTATTGGTGTTCTTGTCTTTTAATATAGATGTCATTTCCTGATACAGGTGTAACTCATTTGGGCAGACCCAAAAACATCTGAGTTCATGTCAAGTGTGGTCACTAGTTTAAAATCCCTGCGTATACTATGGGACCATTGACCACACAGATGGCAAGCAATCCAGGCCTATCTTCATCCCTTACCCTTTCTGCACACTACACAGATCTTCATAGTGGTGGTCATCTTACAATAACAGTAGTGTGTGGGTGTATGTGGGTAGGTGCTGGTACAGTAGTGTGGTTGTAGGTAGGTAGGTGCTGGTACAGTAGTGTGTGATTGTAGGTGGGTAGGTGCTGGTACAGTAGTGCATTGGTGTAGATGGGTAGCTGTTCATTCAGTAGTGGGTGGGTGTACTTGAGTAGGTGCTGATACAGTAGTGTGAGTGCAGGAGAGTAGGTGCTGGTACAGTAGTGGGTGGGTGTCGGTGGGTAGGTGCTGGTAGAGTAGTGTGTGGGTGTACGTGGATAGATGCTGGTACAGTAGTGTGTGCATGTAGGTAGGTAGGTGCTGGCACAGCAGTGTGGGCATAGGTGGGTAGGTGCTGGAATAGTAGTGTGGGTGTAGGTGGGTAGGTGCTGGGACAGTAACATGTGGGTGTAGGTGGATAGGTGCTTTTGCAGTAGTGTGTGGGTGTAGGTGGAAAGGTACTGGTACAACAAGAGTGGTATACCTGGAGTATTCCTATAGTGTATACCAGTAGCGTAATAAAGTACCTGGAGAGCGTGGCAGTACAGTAGGAGTGGTAGTGTAATAATGTACCTGGATAGTGTGGTGGTACAGTAAGAGTGATAGTATAATAGAGTACCTGGATAGTGTGGTGGTACAGTAAGAGTGATAGTATAATAAAGTACCTGGATAGTGTGGTGGTACAGTAAGAGTGGTAGTGTAATAAAGTACCTGGATAGTGTGGTGGTACAGTAAGAGTGATAGTATAATAAAGTACCTGGATAGTGTGGTGGTACAGTAAGAGTGATAGTATAATAAAGTACCTGGATAGTGTGGTGGTACAGTAAGAGTGGTAATGTAATGAAGTACCTGGAAAGTGTGGTGGTACAGTAAGAGTAGTAGTGTAATAAAGTACCTGGATAGTGTGGTGGTACAGTAAGTGTGGTAGTGTAATAAAGTACCTGGATAGTGTGGGCGTGGGTGGGTGGTGTTTGATGCTGGAGAGAGTGGAGATACAGTTGACCATCTTGTAAAGTTATCTTGGAGTGACGGAGGACATGTTGGTCTTGCTGGACACCCAGTACCAAGCCAGCCTCCACCAGCCTCTTGAAGTTCTTACTCATCCCACGAAGATGATCAACCTGTGGACAGTGTCACCATCATTATCACCTTTGTAATGTCATTGCCATTACCACTTATATATTGTGCCAGTACTATTATCATCTTTGCTCAGTCAGTACTATTACCATCTGTCTACACAATTATCACTTATGTAATGTCTGAACCATTATCATCAATATACCTGGAGGGTGTTCCAGAGATCAACTCCCCCACAGACCTGTTCATGACCAGGCCTTGCTGTGGATCAGAGCTTGATCAACCAGGCTGTTACTACTGGCCATGCATAACCCAATGTACAAACCACAGGCAGTCTGGTCAGGCACTGACTTGAGATATCCCTCTGGTTCCCTCTTGAAGAGAGCAAAGGGTATATTGGTAATCCCCCTTATGTATGCTGGGAGGCAGTTGAACAGCCTTGAGCTCCTAACACTTATTGTGTTGTCTCTTAGTGTACTCATTGAACCCCCTGCTTTTCATTGGGGGATTGGGATGTTGCACAGCCTGCTGAGTCTTTTGCTTTCATAGGGAGTGATTACCATGTAAAGATGTGGGACTAGTCCCTCTAGGATTTTTCAGGTATAAATTATGAAGCATCTTTCTCGCTTGTATTCTAGGAGTACAGGTCAATAATTTAGGTGCTTTACTGTAATTATACATGCAATGAAAATTCTCCAGATCTGCAATTTTGCCTGCCCTGAAAGGTGCCATTAGTATACAGCAGTACTGCAGAATTAGGTGTCATGTAACTCAATTGATAGTGCACTCAGCTCACACACTGAGGTCCTGGGATCAAAACACCAGTACAGCTGGAAAACATTAGGAGGGGTTTCCATAAGACATCTGCCATCTCTGTTCACCCATCAGTAAAACGAATACAGTGGAATCTAAACTTACGAGTGTCCAACATACAAGTTTTTTGAGATATGAGCTGTTGCTGGGTTGATTTTTTGCTCTGAGTTACGAGCCAACATCAGAGTTACGAGCGAGCTTCCCCCACTTCGCCCTCAACCCACACACCTCGCTTGTTTATCTATGATTTCATGCTTTAATCCCAAGGAAATCATCCTCTTTTTTTCTTCTCAGCACTGTCCTTTGAACATATTTTCTTAGGACCCATGGTTAGAAAAAACAAATTTGGTCAAATAACTATAAAAATGCAAGCAAAGCACAATAAAAATGCTTCTATAGCGAGGCAAACAGTGCGCTGTGCTAACTAGTAGTGGAGTTCCCTAAACTGATAATGATAATAATAAGAATAAGAATATTAATATGTAATAATAATAATAATAATAATGAAAAACTTCAGAATGCTGCCACTAGCTGGTGCAACAAATGCCAAAACATCCGCTGAGCAGTACATGTGTTCCTCACTGTAGAAGCATTTTTGTAATGCTTTCCTTGCATTTTTTACAGTTATTTGGCCAAACTTCTTTTTTTAACCATGGGTCCTAAGAAAGTCAGTGCAAGGACAGTGCTGAGAAGAAAAAGAGGATGATTTCCATGAAATTAAAGCATGAAATCAAAGATAAATATAAGCAAGGTAATACAAGCATAGTACATCTATGATATGTATGATACTAAAGCAGCAGGAGTCAATAAAGGCTATAGCGCCAGCCAAGGGTGTTGCAATAATTCCTAAGCTGCAGACCTCTGTCCATGAAAAGATGGAGAAGCTGCTGTTGCAGCAATTAAGTTCAGCGATAAAGTGTAGCATTAAGAGTGTAACAAGTAAGTTAAGTGATTAAGCAATAAAAAAAGGGCAAAACAAAACTAACTCTGCTGGAGTTTTGAGACTCTCTGATCACGGGTTCTATCCCTGCCCGTGGTATGGTTTCTTTCAATATTGTCATTGGAGGTTCATAGGGCCACTGACAGCATACGTTGCTCTGCTTATCTTCCACCCTCAACCTCCACAAGCATCTCTGCTCCAAGGTAAGTACAGTATGTACACTTTATATAACCAGTTTATTTCATTACATTCTCTATGTTTGTTTTATGTTTTTGTACAATATTTCTTATTTATAAATACATTCTTTCAGTGTTTTTCTAATGAAACTAGTGATCTAGTGCAGTTAGCCTCACAAACACTCCATTTTCTCTTACAAGAGCATGGGAAGATATAGTCAGAGCGGGAGCGGGAATGGCCGCCACCATTAGTCACATGACATATTTTGTTCATTCTAGAGTATATATCATGTTTCTATGTTATTTACAGTTGACCCCCGCCGTTCGATGGCCACGATTTTCGTGAAATCCGACTTTCAGCAAGTATTTTCAGCAAAATTTACCTTCGTGGTTTGTGATTGGACTCGTGATTTGGCGACCGTCCAGTACACATCCGCCCATCACCACGCACACAAAGCCAGTCTCCCACACCAATCACAATAGTGTGCCATTGTTTAACAGCATGTGACCATCACCCCACGGGTTCATAAATTTCATAATAATCCATTGTTTTTTGTGCTTGCAGCTGCTAAATAAGTCAGCATGGGCCCAAGGAAAACTAGTGCCAGCCGACTGGTAAAGAAAGTGAGGAACACGATTGAATTCAAGAAGGAAATCATTAAAAAATATGAGAGCGGAGTGTGTGTTACAGAACTTGCCAGGATGTATGGCAAACCCCATTCAACCATCACTTCGATCGTGGCGAAGGGAAAGGAAATAAAGTGCGCTGTTGTTGCAAAAGGGGTACATATGCTGACAAAAAAGAGATCACAAACCCTCGAAGAAGTGGAAAGGTTACTGTTGGTGAGGATTACCCAAAAACAGTTAGCAGGAGATAGTATTATACAGTCGATAATATGTGAAAAGGTAAGGCAGTTGCATGACGATCTTGTAAAGAAAATGCCTTCAGCGAGTGGTGAGGCTTGCGATTTTAAGACCAGCAAAGGATGATTTGAGAGATTTAAGAAGCGTAGTGGCATACACAGTGTGGTAAGGCATGGTGAGGTTTCGAGTTCTGACAAAAAAGTTGCTGAGAAATTTGTAGAGGAGTTTAGGGAGTACTTAGACACTGGAGAATTCAAACCCCGACAAGTGTTCAACTGTGATGAAACAGGCCTCTTTTGGAAGAAAATCCCAAATAGGACATACATCACGCAGGAGGAAACAGCACTCCCAGGACACAAGCCTATGAAAGACAGGCAATCATGTTTTGTAGTAATGCTAGTGGGGATTGCAAAGTGAAGCCTTACTGGTGTATCACTCTGAAAATCCCAGTGTGTTCAAGAAAAACAGTGTCGCCAAAAGTAATTTGTGTGTGATGTGGAAGGCTAACAGTAAGGCATCAGTCACAAGGGAAATTTTCCTTGACTGGTTTAATTAAGTGTTTGGCCCCATTGTGAAGAAATACCTCCTGGAAAATAAATTGCCACTCACGTACCTCCTGGTAACGGACAATGCTCCTACTCATCCTCCAGACTTAGAACAGCAAATGGTGGAGGACTTTACTTTCATCATGGTGAAGTTCTTGCTCCCTAATACAACTCTTCTCCTCCAGCCCATGGACCAGCAGGTCATTTCAAACTTCAAAAAACTGTACACCAAAGAAGTGTTTCAAAAATGCTTTGAAGTGATCTCAAACACTGAATTGACCCTAAGATCACTTCAATATCCTCACTTGCATAAACCTTATAGGTAAGGCTTTGGAGGGAGTGACTTGCAGAACTTTGAATTCTGCTTGGAGAAAATTGTGGCCACAATGTGTACAAGAGAGGGATTTTGAAGGGTTTGGGGCTGATCCTAAGGAACCTATGCCAGTTGTGGAAAGTATTGTGTCACTGGGGAATTCCATGGGGTTGGATGTGAGTTTTGAGGATGTGGAAGAGTTGGTGGAGGACCATGATGAAGAGCTAACCACTGCAGAGCTGCAAGAGCTTCATCTGCAACACCAACAGACCACAGCTCAGGAAATTGCTGCAGATGAGGAGGAAGAGAGATGGAGGAATGTGCCTTTTTCGAAGATTAAGGGCATTTGTGCAAAGTGGACTGAAGTGCAATTATTTATGGATGAACTTCAACCTGACAAAGCTATTGCAGGCCGTATTGGCAATATGTACAATGACAGTGTTGTGTCCCACTTCAGACAAATCTTAAAGAAATGCCAGAAACAGAGCTCTCTGGACAGATATTTTGTGCGACAGGGGTCCAGTGACTCTCAAGTTGTTTCCAGTGTCATTAAAAAACAAAGAAGGGAACCCCAAGATAAGGACTTGGTACCTGAAGTCTAGATGGAAGGGGATTCCCCTTTCAAACATTAGTGTACACCTTCCTCCTATCCCCTTCTCCCGTCTTCCATCCACCCAAAAATCTTCAGTAAAGGTAAGTGTAATGTTATTATCATTTTATATATGTATGCACTTGATTTCTCGTTGTTTTCTGGATATAAATCTTCATTTAATTTGAAAAAAAAATTTTTTTGTTAATATTTTTGGGTGTCTGGAACGGATTAATTTTATTTCCATTATTTCTTATGGGGAAAATAGTTTTGCCATTTGGCAATTTCATCATCCGGCAGACTCTCTGGAACAGATTAATCACGAAACTCGGGAGTCCACTGTATATAGTTTATGTCTAATATTAGATGAACTGTGATAGATAAATATGCCACAGAGTTGATATTAGCATCACACTGAAGTATTTTGTCCTGCCTCCTAAGAACAGGAATTCTGCTGGAATGGATTATTGGCTTTTCAATTAATTTAAATGAGGAAAATTTATTTGATATGTGAGCAAATTGAGTTATGAGCAAGATCACGGAATGGATTAAACTCATAAGTCGAGGTTCCATTGTAGTACCTGGGTGTTAGTCGACTGGTGTGGGTCACATCCTGGGACAAAAATGACCTAATTGGCCCAAAATGCTCTACATAATAAGGGACTTTTTATATAGTAGTATGTCATTGATGTCACCTAGGCCTGTACACCTTGTACATGTACTTGCAGAAATAAAGATAGTACAGTGGCACCTTGACTTACGAGTTTAATTCATTCTATGACAGAGCTCGTAACTCAATTTGCT